CTGGCCATCGGATCCGAAGTATCTTGCGTAGACAGCTGTTAATAAACACTTGTATCTTCTGGATAATGGCTTTCGTAGTTCTCCACGTCTCTGCCCCATACAGAAGAACTGTCTTGACATTTGTATTGAAAATTCTAACCTTGGTGTTGGTTGACAATTGTTTTGAGCTCCAGATGTTTTTCAGCTGTAGGTATGCTGCTCTTGCTTTGCCGATCCTCGCCCTCACATCTGCATCTGATCCACCGTGTTCATCAATGATGCTGCCCAGATATGTAAAGATTTCCACATCCTCCAAAGCTTCTCCGTCAAGTGTAATTGGATTGGTGCATATTGTATTGTATCGGAGAGTCTTGCTTTTCCCTTTGTTTATATTGAGACCTACTGTTGCTGAGGCTGCTGCTACACTGGTCGTTTTCTCCTGCATTTGTTGTTGCGTTTGTGATAGAAGAGCCAGATCATCCGCGAAGTCTAAATCGTCAAGCTGCATCCTGCCTGTCCACTGTATCCCGTGCATTCCTCCAGATGTTGACGTCTTCATAATCCAGTCGATCACCAGGAGAGAGAGAAAGGGTGAGAGTAGGCAACCTTGCCTAACACCGGTCTTTACCTCGAACGAGTCGGTGAGTTGTCCTCCGTGGACGATTTGGCAGTTTAGTCCATCATAGGAGTTCCGTATGATATTTACTATCTTCTCAGGCACACCGTAGTGTCGAAGAAGCTTCCACAGTGTCGTCCTGTCCACGCTATCAAATGCCTTCTCGTAGTCGATGAAGTTGATGTACAGTGATGAATTCCATTCGATTGATTGTTCCACAATGATACGTAGAGTTGCGATTTGATCTGTGCACGATCTATCCTTACGAAATCCAGCTTGTTGATCTCGAAGTTGAGCGTCCACGGAATCCTTCATCCTGTTTAACAATACTCTGTTGAAGACTTTTCCTGGTATTGAGAGGAGAGTGATGCCTCTGTAGTTGTCGCACTTGCTCAGATCGCCTTTCTTTGGTATTTTGATCAGAAGTCCTTTTTTCCAGTCTGTTGGTACATGTTCTTCGTCCCAAATCTTACCGAAGAGGATGTGGAGTATCTTGGCAGTTGCTGTTACATTTGCTTTCAGTGCCTCTGCCGGGATGTTGTCTGGTCCCGCTGCTTTGCCACTCTTGATTTGTCTAATGGCCATGCTGATCTCTTCAATTGTTGGTGGGCCAATATCGATTGGGAGGTCTGTGGGTGCTGCTTCGATGTTGGGTGGGTTCAGTGGAGCTGGTCGATTCAAGAGTTCTTTGAAGTGTTCTACCCACCTGTTTCGTTGTTCTTCAATATCGTTGATTACTTTGCCTTCCTTGTTTTTCACTGGTCTTTCTGGTTGACGGTAATTTCCAGCAAGTTTCTTTGTTGTATCATACAGTTGTCTCATGTTTCCCTCTCTTGCAGCCTTTTCCGCTGTCATCGCTAAATCTTCCACATATTTACGTTTGTCGGTCCTGATGCTCCTCTTCACTTACTTGTTTGCCTCTGTGTATTCGGCTTGTGCCTTGGCTTTTTCTGCTCTTGTTCGGCTGATATTGATTGCTACCTTCTTGTTCCTCCTTGCTTCAATTTTATCCAGTGTATCAACAGTGATCCATTCCTTGTGATGGTGCTTCTTTTGGCCCAGAACCTCCTGACATGTTGAAACGATTGCCTCCTTGATACCTTTCCAGCTGCTCTCTATGGTCGTTCCCTCTTCTTTGAGTAGGTTATGAAAGGCCTGGAACCTGTTGCTGAGGGCTATGTTAAATTCGTTGAGTTTGTCAGCATCTCGAATTTAGTGGTAAGATAATATTAGAAAGGGATTTCGTGGAGATTATAATAATTTAATAGTTGAGATCATGAGTCAATTGAAGCTAGATCACCATAGTAAACCTGGAAGCGCTAAACGACCGTTTCGTCCTAGTTTAGTGTACAAGAAGACGAGTGGGGACAATTGAATGTATTAAAGCACAAATTACAGACTATCTCACTAAATTCTCATAAGCATACAGTAAACAGTTAATTTGAAAACTGTTAATTAATTGTCTCAATCTTAACTATTCCTTCTGCAAACATCAGTCCATCTTATCTGATTTCATTGTTCATGTATTTTCGCACCAATTGCGCTTCATTCCTGTTCTTTCCTTATCGATTTTCTGCCAAAATACATTCTATGTCTGACCATCACCATATACTACTTATGTGAATATAAGTAGACTGCACCATACGAGGATTGAACTAAACCATTAATTCAGTAAAATTGAAAATTTTATCTTAAAATTTTTGCTCGTAGTAATCACAAGACAACAAATATACTGAATATGAGTTCATAATACCGAAGTTGAAAACTGGTATTAAACTACTCTACAATTATCCCTGGTGTAAATTCTTTTTTAGCTTATTTATAAAATATTCTTAGAGCTATTTTGATAAACAGTAACTATAATATTACGTCCACTCTTTGTGTTCTCCCAAATTCTAATCTTCTGAATTTTTCATGTCTCTATCTTTTTCTCTTATTTCACTGGATTATACTCCTTCAATAACATCATCAAACCCTAATCTTTCACATTAATGTTTATACTTATACTACTTCTACTAGTATGGGATTTGAATCGACAACTGGATCTCTATGCTAATGTAGTATAGCAACTCGAACTGATGTACGTACGTACGAAGTTCTACGTTGTGACTGACTGATGTCATAAAACTGAAGATATTGATATTTATCTTTTATTAGTTTAAATGATCTGACTATTCTTCTCAATCTACGTTTGGGTTGCCTTCAAAAACATCTGTAAGTTGCCGTTAATAATATCCTGATACTATTTACCTTTGAATAGTAGCACAATAAAGAGCATACGTATACAGATCGTTATGTGAACGAGTATAATTGTAAACTCAAATCGATCACTGATCATTTCAAAAACCATTGCATTTCCTACTAAGTTACCATTGGCTACCTTTTATTCATATGTTAAATCATGCTATTTTGTTGCCGTTTAAGTTCTACTTTGAATATTGGATTGCCTGTATGTGATAAATTGTTAATTAAATTAAATAAGTGCTTTACATTCACCTGTTAGTTACTCACTGATTTATGTATTGAACTTTGAATAGAAGCGCTTGTGTAAGGACTCGAAGTTGACTCTCTATGATTGAAAATTGAATCATTAAACCACTAAATCACTAATCATTGATAATTTATAGAGGACAATAATTTATAGTTGAATATCGGTCATAATGGGACATAAAATGAAACTTGTAATTTTCATAATAGCCAGAATAATCAAAAACATAAAATTCAGTCGACAAAATAACAGACCGATCGATAAATGTTTAATCTTTACATAATTTTTTTGTAATTTTAAATAGGTGATAGTGTCATGTGTGTGCTACTGATGTCGATAGATATAAGTAGTATGTAACACCATTCGATAGTGGAATGCCTGTCATCAGAAGGTTGAGTAGATCAAATAGAAGAGAATGGGAACAGAGAATGATTGTTATATAAATGAAGGAACAACTAATTCTCAGACAATTAATGAACATTTTGCAAATGAATTATTAAAGTATGGTTTTTCTATGTTACCAAGTAACTTTGTAATTTAGAGTTTCTTAATACATTTTGTTATAATTTAAATATTTGAGATTATGAGTCAATTGAAGCTAAACCACCATGGAAAACTTGGAAGTATTGGACGGCCGTTTCGTAATCAATGATCCTGGATGTCAAGATTCGAACCCAGGACCTTTCAGCTCTCGCGTGCAAGCGCTCAACCTCTAGACCACATTTCATATAATATATATGATTTGAATAACTAATCTTTGAGTATTTACTAGAAGTTTTATATAACTGAAGAAGGATTATTTTGGTTGAAAAAATTGATTGTTTTAGTGAAATAATGATATGGTAGATTCATAAATGTTGACAATTAAATCACTAAATCGAATGTTCTAAACACCGGAAATTGACATGTAATTATTCGATTCAAACAAACAAATCATAATAATAATAGATTGTTTTGTAGTAAAGATGAAATGTCAGTGGGTTTTATATGTTTAAATGACCTAAGAAGGGAAACGTATACTTTTTCTGTAATATTCATTCTTTACCTTAAACTATCCAAGGAATTATCGATAAATAGGAAGTGTTTTAACTAAATAACAATTATGACAACAAATAGTATAAGCAAACAATATAAGCAAACGGAAAAGCAACATTCTCCGATACAATACAACATACACCAATCGAATTGCACTTGACTGAGAAGCTTTGGAGGGTGTAAAAATCTTTACATATCTGGACAGCATCACTGATGAACACGGTGGATCTAATGCAGATGTAAAGGCGCGTATCGACAAAGCAAGAGTAGCATATCTACAATTGAAGAACATCTGTGACTCAAAACAACTCTCAACCAACATCAAGTTCAGCATTTTCAATACAAATGTCCAGACAGTTCTACTGTATGGAGAGGAAACCTGAACAACTACGAAAGCCATCATCCAGAAGATACAGGTGTTTATTAACAGTTGTTTACGCAAGGTACTTCGAATCCGTTGGCCAAACACTATCAACAACAACCTACTATGGTAGAGAACAAGCCAGATTTCACTGGAGGAAGAAATCAGGAAGAATCATTAGAAGTGAATAGGACACACATTGAGGAAAACACCCAACTACGTCACAAGACAAGTCGTCACATAGAATCTTCAAGGTAAAAAGAGAAGAGAAATACCAAAGAATACATTACTCCGAGAAATGGAAACAGACATGAGAAGATTGAACAATGATTGGATAGAACTAGAAAGGAATGCTCAGGACAGTGTGTGTAGGAGAATGCTGGTCGGCGGCCTATGCTCGATTGGGTGGTAACAGTTGTAAATAAGTAAAGTAAGTAATCATTGTAGTATATATGTATATCAAGAATGATAGAGGAAGTCAACATATATTATCTAAAAAATTTTTTTCTTTTTTTTCTTAGAAATGGGTACCAACATTTCCCAACCCTAATCAATGTATTAATTTTAATCAACGTCTTATAGAACAAAAAGTTTGTCTATCCCAATTCACTTCACAAAATTTATATTCTTTCAATGTTCAAGTGAAAACTATACATAATATACAAATTAATCATTTCGATTATAAAAAAGAAGTTAAACTACGTTATACATTAGATCATTGGAGAACATATACCGAATCATTATCATTAACATGTTTAGATGAATTAACTTATTTATCTATATATAATATCAATCATTGTATAGAAATAAATGAAGGTGAAATTATTTTATCAACAATTCCCTTAGATACTAAATTTTTACAATTAGAATTTGCTATTGTTTATAAAGGGAATGATTTTGAATATTGGGATAATAATCATTCACAAAATTATATATGTTATCCAAGTACTTTATATTAATGATTATTACATGATCATTGTTATTGTCATTTTTTTTTAAAAAAAAATGTTTGAAATTGGTTATCTTTTGCCTTTCTCTTTCTTTCCCCCTCCATCTCTCCCCCCTCTTTCTACCCCTTCCCTCTCCCCCCTCTTTCTTTCCTTCCCTCCCTCGGTGTTCTAAATTTATATGTAATTCAGATCTGTAGTTGAATAATGAATGAAACATAAACCATTAATGTATTCTAGTTCAATACTGTAATTTGTTTGTTTTTTCTTACCAATATGATTGATCTTTAATGATAAGCTTCTCAGTTTCTTTTATTTTTTTTTGTTGAAAATCTTTATAACCTGTAACTTTTGTTATTTGATAAACCGTTGTGACACAATGATACACCCCAATTAGGCTAGTGACAATGATGTTGACTAGTTTATTTATCATTTAAGTGTTGTTTTTATAATAAACTATTAAGTTAAAACAAAACACTGACCTTAGATATTCAAAAGTTTGAATATTTTGTATAAAAAAACTAATTATTAAAATACAAATCTATTTTTATTGTACTTTCTTTTTGAAACTATTTCACTATTGTAAGCAAAGATGGATAGTGACTAGTAGTGGAATCCAGTTGGACGCGCGTTTCGTCCTATTTGGGATTCGTCAGGTGGATGTACCTGAATCTCAGGTACTGGGCTCGAGTCCCAGAGTGAACATCAACTCTGAGATGTAGGTACATCCAGCTGACGAGTTTCAGATAGGACGAAACACGCGGCCACTATCCATCTTTGCTTACAATGCTTGCGAATTAAGGCTATATTGAGGCAATACGCACAGTATGCCAATATGCCAATTAGAGACTGATCAGTTGCAGTCCTAAACATCAATGGAAAGATTCAAACACGAAATACCAAGTGAATTCAAGTGATACTTGTTGTTACTTAAATTTTGATGACTATTAATGAGTTTCTGTAGGTGTACAATAGCTATTGAATTCCGCGACTTTTGTACATGTTTACCAGTCTAACTGTTCCCACAGAACCATTCATAATAAGAATACAACTACTTATTGTATTTCTGAACATCATTATTATTCACAATTAAGTAAAGGATAAATGAGTAACAGGACACTTTACTTTCCCACAGTATGCACATATGCCAATAAGAGACTGACCATTTGCAGTCCTAAACATCAACGGGAAGATTCAAACAAACAATACTAAGTAAATTTTTCACCATTGTTTTAACAGAATAAATGGATTCGTGGTTAGCAGGAGAATGTATGATGAACATTTCGTACTATTTTGGGACTTATCATTTCATAATATTGAAATTGTGGATGCACACTGCTCAGGAGTCCCACAATAGGACGAAATGGCCGTCCAGTGCTTCCAGGTTTTCCATGGTGGTCTAGCTTCAATTGACTAGTGATTTCAACTATGAAAATATTGAAATAGTCTTTATAAACTTTAGGCAGTTTTAACTTTACAGAATTGGTTAAATCTATAAGTGAAAATAGTTTTAACAGATCATCTATCAACACAATAGAAACACTCAATTTTGTATTGGCTTCGGTGAGTTTGACGGTGTAACATAGTTATGGCAGGGTTGAATTTCAGACTTATTGAAAATGTCAATATTGATTTTAAATTCCGTGATTGATTGTAACCATTAACGGTAATGCAATATAATGTGTGAAATAAGTAACAACATCCAGTTTCATACATTTCATTTGCCTGTTGTCTTTTGTACTGATTCGTAATAGTCACATTTCCTGTAACCATTTTCTAAGCGTTACCCATTGACACAACTCCTCCTGTAGCTCTTCTAAAGTTACTGCCGGTTATAAGCCCGAGTAAAGAAAGAGGGTTGGGCATGGGGTTAGCGACCGCATCCTGTAGAAAACTAGCTCGCTAAAAAAGCGCTAACCAGAAAAAATAATTCAAACCTACCCATTGACACATTTAAATTTTCATCAATACCGATAATCACATAGGATATTTTGAAGATGAAATACTAACTACTAGTAAGTAGTATACAATTGTAAGGAAAAAAAGAAGTTCAACTTGAAAGCTAATCCATTTTATAGTAAGAAAAACCTTAGTAATAATTAAGGAACAAACATCGAAATAGCAATAAGAGCTTATCTCTTTTCATTGGTCATTTAGTTTACATCATAAAGATATTCACTAGTCTACAGCTAGACGGTAATAATGTCAAGCATTACATAAATCATGAATCGATTTAACTTTAATCACTGTGGGAAACCTGGGAGTATCGGATAGCCATTCTGTCCTATTATGAGATTTCCCAGCCTTGCACGTCAGCGACCTCACATACGAATAAAATGTGGACAAGAATAAATGTTAGTGTTTTACAAGCTTTCAATTAAGTGAAATAACGTCCATAAAAATAGCTTCCATTGTTTGTCATGGCTTTTTTATCTATCTGTTCTAATCTTCCACCTTGGTAAAAATGTAAGCTATAATTGCCATTTGTCTGAGTGTGTAAGTAAGGCAAACTGGCTACTGCTGTGATCTCCGCGAGACGTGACCACTTTTGTTAAAGGGAATAAAAAAAGGAAAAATGATCAATCACTGTTTAAAAGCGATATGTATGATATCACAGATATTGCCCCTCGGTAACGTATGCTCTTTTTTTAAGTTCAACCTCGGAGGATATCTGATGTTCTGATGTTTCGTAATGAACTTCTGATAGGATTTTGTTCTCGTTCTATGGCCTTCTTAGTCGCTGGACTCCCTTTATCAAAACTGTGTAAGGAGATTTCCCTGATTGATCCCAGTTTCTCGGTTTTCTGCAAAGCACCATCATTTTCTAGTATGTGGTTGGTGTGATGTATCATTTTTTGGCCTTCAACTTCCACCACGTACATTACATTCCCTCCTCTCTTAAGTATGCATCCGCCGAGCCATTGTCGAGGTGATTATCGAAAATCACTTTCTGGTTATTTTGACAGATCCTACGTTTCATCCAATTGGTTTCATGACATCGAGGGTAGTCTTAACTTTCCTGCCAAACATAATTTCTGCTGTAAACAATCAAATCGCTGCTGATGGATTTGGAGTTGTCCTGTAGACCAATAGAAGATCATCAAGAATTTCCATTATATTCCCCTCCCCTTTTGCTTTCAGTAGTGCTTTTTTAAGGGCATCCATAAACCTTTCGGCTTGACCATTCAATTGTGTATGGTATGAAGTGACGAACATGTAAAACTCCAAATCTGCTGAAAAACTCTGAGAAGGTGTAAGAGGTTAACTGAGTGCAATTACCCGACGCAATAACATCTGTACGTAACTTTCGTAGTATTTGGTATTTGTCAGCAATTCACATCTTTAATCTTAGTGAGACAGATACTTCTAATGAGATTGAAATTAATAACTAACAATCTGATATGATAAAAAGAGAAACATTGAAATTATGTATCAACACAAGTTTGATAGAGATTTTATAATCTTTCAAGAAGTTGAAGTAATTATAGAAGGGGTTTTGTGGAGATTTAGTATTTATTATAGTTGAAAGCGTTAGTCAATTGAAGCTAGACAACCATGGAAAACCTGGAAACACTAGACGGCAGTTTCGTCCTATTATGGGACTCCTCAGCAGGTCCCGGGTTCGAATCTCGCGAGGCGAGGTCGTGGATGCGCACTGGTGAGGATTCCCACAGTAGGACGAAACGACCGTCCAGTGTTTCCAGGTTTTCCATGGTGGTCTAGCTTCAATTGACTCACTCTTTCAACTATAATAAATTGAAGTAAATTAAATTTCTGTCATAATTCACCTTAGATTGTCCAAACTTCTGTTTAGTACAAATATTACGTTTCTGAATGTGAATTCTGTTATATAAGAACTTTTATCTAAATTTGAGTGAATAGTTTTACAGTATTTGGGTGCCGAGTTAATGTAAGGTATAAGAGATATTTCTTTAAAAAAAAACAACTTCGATTAGATTACCAGCCGAAATGTTGGATTTACTTCAAATCCAAATATATTATTCCTATTTAAATGAATTCTGATAGCTTACGCAGTATGCAAAAAGATGAACATATAAACAATGCGGTAAATTTAATGTAATACAATGGATAATTTTTTAGGCTTTATTTAAATCAAATTGAAGTCGTTTATTAACTATAATAAAACATCAGAAGAGGTTTTGTGAATATTATAGTAATTTTAGTAGTTGAGATCATGAGTCAATTGAAGCTTAGTCATAATGGAAAACCTGGATCGTGGATGAGCACTGCTGACGAGTCCCAAAATAGGACGAAACAGCCGTCCAGTTCTTCCAGGTTTTTCATGATGGTCTAGCTTCAATTGACTCATGATTTCAACTATGTAAAATATAATAAAACAGATTTTATTTATATGTAGATATACTACTCATTGAACATTGATAGTAAAAGAAATTATTACTAAAACATATAGACAGCAGTAGTATAAAATGAAAAACAGTTGATTGTTTTAATTGATTATATCACACTATTTACTTACTTGCGCCTGTTACCTCTTGTGGAGAAGCGTAGGCCACACACCAGTAGTCTCCATTCAACGATTGTCCTGGGCAATCTTTTCCAGTTCTTTTCAGTTAACATTTATCCTTTTCATATCTGCTTCCATTTACCGGCGTAATGTGTTCTTTAACCGTCCTCTTTTCCGCTTCCTTTCAGAATTCCGAGTTAGGACTTGCCTCGTAGTCCAGTTTAATAACATCATAATATTAGTCTGAAAAACGGATTACAATCATGATATTTAGAATGTTTAACATTCAAAGCAATAAAAAAGATAGAAAACACCTAAACATGTAAATTAATCATTTCCATATACAACAAACAGCATAAGGAAATACAACTAAAAGAAGATAACTGACGGAAATAGTCAACATGAATTCGTATTGAACACACACACCTACACACACACATTACTCTATATTTC